CCCAAGAACAGAGGCTCCATGGGGTGGGAGTGCCGGGGCGTGGTGGAGGGCGCGGTGGAGGGTATCGGTCGGTTTTGGGCGAGAAATGGTGGGGTGGGGGTCACCAAGAACAGAGGCTCCATGGGGTGGGAGTGCCGGGGCGTGGTGGAGGGCGCGGTGGGGGGTATCGGTCGGTTTTGGGCGAGAAATGGTGGGGTGGGGGGTCCCAAGAACAGAGGCTTCATTTGGAGGTTCGAGGCGGTTAACCTCAAATGCTAATTATCGCTTTGCGGTTCGAGGAGGTTATAACTGACATGTGAGTTCTAGACGGCTCGAGCCTCCAGGTTTGAACCCACATTTGAGTTCTGACTTGGAGGCTGGAGGCGGGTATGTCTCAAGCGTGAGTTCTAACTTGGAGGCTCGATTCGGTAAGAACTAGCATGTGAATTCTAACCGGCTCGAGCCTCCAAGTTGGAACTCGAATGAGTTCTAATTGCCTCGATTCTCCAAATTAGAGCTGAATTCCGAGTTATAGCTTGGAGGTTCGGGGAGGTTCGAACTCAAATTTGAGTTCGAACCACCTCGGGCCTCCAATCCGGCTCTCCGGTTCTGGCTCCCAGCTTTCCGACTCCAGCTCCCATCTCTCCGACTCCAGCGCCCGTCTCTCCAACTCCGGCTCCAACCTTTCCGACTCCTGCTTCCGATTTTTGCTCCGACTTCGGCTTCTAACCGTTTCCTATCACGACCTTCCTGTGCTGGGGAACGACGGGGTCCCTGTCCGACTGCTCCTGTATTTCCGACTCCGGCGCTCCAAGAATGCAAACCTGTCCCGGCTGCACCCACCGAGATGCTACCGATGAGCGGCCGGCCAGCTTCCCTCCTCCTCATTCCCCCTCTCGCGCTGTTGCAACGCGATGCTGCTGTTTCACACGCCAGTATTTTCTGGGCGGTTCGGCCCCACCCTGCAGCACCCCCGCGGTGCAAGACGCAGGCCGAGTTCCGAGTTCCGAGTTCGGGCTTCCAATCGATGGATGGGCGGGGAGCCGCATGTGGACCCTGGCTCTGGGGCCTTCGGTGGAGCTCTCTATGAGGCCACGAAATGTGCCAGGCGATGGGTGTGCCGAAATAGAAATGTTGTGGGCGGGGAGCCGCATGTGGACCCTGGCTCTGGGGCCTTCGGTGGAGCTCTCTATGAGGCCACGAAATGTGCCAGGCGATGGGTGTGCCGAAATAGAAATGTTGTGGGCGGGGAGCCGCATGTGGACCCTGGCTCTGGGGCCTTCGGTGGAGCTCTCTATGAGGCCACGAAATGTGCCAGGCGATGGGTGTGCCGAAATAGAAATGCTGTGGGCGGGGAGCCGCATGTGGACCCTACTATTGGCTCCTTCGGTGGAGCTCCTTATGGGGACACGGAACGTGTGAGGGGTGTGGCGAAATGGAAATGCGGTGGGCGGGGAGCCGCATGCGGACCTTGACATTGGGGCATTCGGTGAAGCTCCTTTTTGGGACACGGAACGTGTGAGGGGTGTGCCGATATTCGTATGCGGTGGGCGGGGAGCCGCATGTGGACCCTGCCAGGGGAGCTTTCGGTGGAATTCCACATGGGGCCATGAAACGTGTGAGGGGTGTGCCGAAATCGACATGCGGTGGGCGGGGAGCCGCATGTGGACCCTGACATTGGGACCTGATGTGGAGGTCCTCATGAGGCCACGAAGCGGGTGAACGGGTGTGCCGAAATAAACATGCGATGGGCGGGGAGCCGTATGTGGACCCTGCCACTGGGGCCTTAGGTAGATGGGTGTGTCGAGACAGAAACACGCGGGACGCAGAGGCAAAGGAACGGAAGAGGGAGGAAGACGGCGGAGGACGCGGGGCGCGGGGCGTTCTCTCTTCAAACTCTTCAAAACGAGGACCCAACACTACAGGATGGTTGGTAAATAATTCGCCCTACCGACAACCATGTTATGATGACTGTGATAGGGCTGTTGATGGCGATCGTGATGGCGATGATGGCGGTGATTATGATGTTGTTGACTATAATAAACTATTATGATGTTGATGACGTTGATGATGATGCTGTTGCTGCTGATGGTGATGATTATGGTGCTGATTATGGTGATGACGGCGACTACAACGATGATGATGATGGTGTTGTTGCTGATAATGCTGAGGATGACAGTGCTTTTGATGGGTGATGATGCACATGTGTTCCTGACATCGAAAGCCACAGACACTCGATCGAGTCGATTGTCAAAACATGTTCGCGCTACCGACAGCCTGTAGAGACAGCACGATTTGTAAACAAGCCGAATCGGCCAGAAGTGATAGCGGAAGATTGAAAACGAATTGGCATGCATCAGTGTAAGGTGTTGGATACATTTGGGCATTAGCCGGAAAGCCAGTGGCGATAGCGCAATATTTAATACGAGGCATCTTCCACCAACGTGACCGTTTGAGTTTTATCATTTTCAGGTTTAAATGAAGTATGAGGAAGTTTCAGGCGACAGCGTGGCATTTCAAACAAAACGCCCTCAATCGGTGTCATCGTTAGCATTACTGGGCATCAGGATCTTATCTTGCAATGGTTCCTCCGTTGGGTCGCGCCCTGCTGACACATCTGCCTGGGTTGCACGATGAGGAGCTGTGCATTCTGTGTTAAGGGGGGAGGGGGTTGGCGGAGGAGGAGGAGGAGGAGGAGGAGGAGGAGGAGAGGAGGGAGGAGGAGGAGGAGGAGGAGGAGGAGGAGGAGGAGGAGGAGGAGGAGGAGTGGACGCAGCAGCAACAGGAGGAGACGAAGCGGGACAGGGAGGGGGAAAAGGTACAGAGAGGGTCGGCAGGGCCCTGCCCACCCGCAGGTCCTGCGCATCCGCCTCTCGGGCACGCGGATGCCGCCGCCGTTGCCGCGGGTGTTGGCGGCGCCCGACGAGGACGTGTTGGTCGCGGCGTTGTTCGTGGGGCTGCACTGCAGGAGGGCGATTGGCAACTGGGGAGGCGGAGAGAAGTGGGAGCAAGGTGTTCAGATTTGCTGGAGCTTTGCCATAGACTCCGGATGTTTCTGGGAAGAGTTCAGGGGCGGCGGAGGGGGAGGAGAATGCGGACTTAGGTGCTTGTCATCTCCTGCGCTTGGCGTAGGCGCAGCCTGGCTCAAGCTCTGGTTGACACCCTTCCGCTCAAGTTTTTCGCTTTCGCCCTGGGTGGACAGGTCTGGGCGCCCGCTTGAGCAGCGGGTTGGGATACAGTGCGTGCTTGTGCAAGCCAGGGACTGTCGCTGCGTGCGCCTCGTTTCTTTTCAGAGTCTTATCGAGGGAGCGCTCTTCGGGGACGTCCTGAAGCAGGAGTGTCTATCAGACCAGTTGTTTCGAAGCGTGCCTGGAGCAGAAAATACACTTCTAAGACCACGTCGCCTTTCCAGACGGATTCCCGGACAGAGGTTAAGCGGCGGCCGCCCTATGGAAGCAGCATTGCAATTGTTTCGTCACGACGTCGCCCTCGTAGCTCTACAGAAAACACCTTGGTCATCGTTTGTCCCATTTGGAATGTTTCGAGCCCTTCATGAGGAAACCATGTTCACGGCGTTGGGTTTTCCTCAGCAGCTCGGCATCATGAGTCGTTTTGCTTGTTGTGTCAGAAGATCGCCAGGAATATGGCGGCGCGTCATCGAACGTAGACTGGCTGCAGGCTTTCCAGATTGAGGGCTCAATTTTATCAACGCATCTTCTGAGCGCCAAGATGTCACGGCGATTACATTCACATCCGCACAGGAAGACGAGACGCGCGGCAACGATTCGCGGGGCTTTTTCCCCCTCGAATTCGGAGCTCTCGGTTGTAGGTGCACCGCCATGTTGCCCCACAGAGAAGGTTTCACGATGGAGGGCATTCGGACGGGCGAAGAGAGGAACCTCCAAACCCAATCGCTTTGGGTGTCATCGTCGTGCGAGGCAAAGTCCCTTCCAACATTGCTTGTCGCCGAAGAAGGCTACCGCCTTGCAAATTCTCTCCATTCTCTGAACAGTTCAACCTTTGACCGAATCTTGCACAGCACCGCAACGCGCGCTTATCCACGAACGGCAAGGACGACCCGCTCGCAACGAATGAGAACGAACATGCCCACCATACGCTGTTGCGCACGGACGTCATATCCCCACATCCAGCTCATGCGTGTCTGAATTCAGCGGTGCCCGGCGCGACTTCAAGATCCACGCCGAGATCACATTTGGGAGCAACAGAAGTGGCGTTGATGGGCCGCAGTTCTTGCCAAGGCCGCGGGGACGAACGCGGCCATCGCGGCGATCGGCCTCCAAAGCAACTGCGTTGGCGAAGAGGGGCCGCAGCCCTGGCCAAGGCCCCGGAGACGAGCGCGACCACCACCGCGACGGATCTTGACGTCAGTATCGTTTGCGTTGCGGGAGTCGCATCCCTGGCGCAGGCCCTGGAGACGAAGACGATCATCACCACGATTCACTTCGGAGACAGCACCATTGGCCGCCGCAGCCCTGGCCAAAGCCCTGGAGACGAATACGGGCGCCGCCCTGTCGCAGTGAGGGGCCATCGCGCGTGGAGGGGTCCTGAGGACTTGCCAGGAGAGCGTTGTTTGCCGCGCCATGGCGTTTCCGATTGCCTGCCTCCGCGCTTCGCCCCTTGCCTTTCACCTCCCCAGTCCTCCCTCCCTCCCTCCCTCCCGCCGGCTGTTCACTGAGTCCCACCTGTTTCACTTCACGGACCCAGGTTAGCTTGACAGCCACGTCCCGCCTCGCAGATTTGGGCGTTCGGCGGGGGAAAAATGGCTTTAGCTTGGCATCGCTCGGACGTGTGCATTTTTTCTTCGGCGAGGACCATCGAGGAGCATCCTCGATCATTTGGCGAAAAAAAAACACGCACGAAACCGACAAAAAGCACAGGAAATGGACGTCCGAGCGATGGCCAGTTAGCTGTAGCTCGCCGCAGGCTTGCCGAGATGGCCCGCATCCCCCCGAGCCGCTCTCCGAAGCCCTGGCCGCGGTTCATAAAGCCGGCCGATTTCTCCGTCTCCACATTCCCATCCTTAGTTTCTCATGCCTTTGCTCCTGAGGAGGAGGAGGGAGTAGAAGAGAACGAGGACCAGAGTACGCCCACGATGCATCAGCAATGCTGCAATACACCCTCCCGTCCCAAGCCCCATCCTCATGCGTCAGTGCAAGTTTGCCCCCTCACTGCTAAAAGCGCCATCCTCGAAAGACCAGCGCCATGGGTCCGCTAATTTGGAGTTTTGGAACGGAATCGTGTTGCATCCGTTTGATGCGCAATCAGAAAGTCTACAAACTCTGAATATGCAGTTCAACCAGGTGCATAGCCCGCCCGCGCAACAGGGCAACGTTTACACAACTTTTCATTTGTCGTCATCATTTCCGAGGAAGTCACAAGCGAACGCTCCATGTTGAAAAAGACCCCCTCGTTCCGTGCAGCGCTACAGGTGTTTTAGGTTCGGGCCTTCAAGTTCGGGACGTGTCAGGCGACATTCCCATGTTGACAAAGGGCGGTGTTCCATCCTTCTGAGCACCGTTAACTTGTATGGCGAATGCGCGCGGCGATAAGGCGAAAGCCACGTTTTGGAAACGATGTGTTTCATCCGTCTCTGTTGTTCGGAGGTGGATAGACCTCCTACCCTGACACGTCGATTAAGGAATTGGCCGTTTTCGGTTCGCGATCTCTGTTGTAAGCTTTTAAGACTCATGAGCGCGGCGCTGAGGCCTGAGCCGCATATTGAAAAATGGCCGCCCTCCATCCTTGAAGTCGTTGCATCAAAAAAAAAGAATGCGCGCGGCGCGAAGACACGAGACACACTATGAAAAGGAACCGCCTGCATGTCTTGAAGCTGTTACGATCAATTTAAACGAAGGTGCGCGGCGATGGGGCGAGAGCCACCGCCACATGTTGAACCACCTTTGGAAATGCTGCAAACATTTAGGGCGAGTGTGCGCAGCGCTGAGGCTATATCTACACGAGGACAAGAAGCCCCCCGCCACCCCTGAATATGTTGCAGCTCAAATTTATATCAACAGCGAGGGTGCGCGGTGCGAGCGCGACAGCTACGCGTTTAAAACATCGCGCCCGCCATCATTGAAGCTATTGTGAATTATTGACGCTTCTTGGGGCGCTATTGGGCTGGCTTAGGCCCCCTTGGGTCTTTCTTGGAGCTCTCGTGGGCCGTCTTGGGGCCACTTTGAGGTCTCGAAACCACGCGGGGAGCGAAAAGGCGAGAAGGCACATAGCATGGATTTGCCTCGGGTGCTTGACAGATTTGGGCCTCGGGGGGAAGTCCTGAGGGGACTCCGGGAACATTTGGGGCCGTCTTATGGTCCCTCTGGGGCCTCTTGGAGGCATGCCGGTAATCATCTGAAACCATCTTCGGCTATCTTGAGCCACCTTGGGGGGCCATCTCGGAGCATCGGGGGCCTTCTTGGAGCCATCTTAGGCGAACAAGGACCCCTTGACACATCGCGACGCACCCAACAATTAGCCTGGCGAAGGACCCAATCATATGCAGCTGCGAGTACCGCGAGGGAGATGAGTCGAACCGTGTGAGGGGTGTGCCGAAATGAGTGCCTGGGACGGATGTGGACGCACCCCCTGGGGCCCTCGGTGGAGCCCCCTATGGGGCCACGAACCGTGTGAGGGGTGTGCCGAGATGAGAGAGAGCGATATCCAACAAAAAACGCTCAGCCACCGCGGGGGGGGGCTCAACGAGGAGCCCCCCCCCTATCGCATTGAAGACAGGGCGGAGGGCAAAAGAGGGGATCCCCCCCCTCCCCCAGCAATCGACACTCTTTCTCCCCCTCTTGCACTGAAGAGGGAACCTCCCCCTGCCACTGCCACTCGAAATTCTCTTCCCCTTCGCGCACTCAAGGGCGACCCCCCCTCTCTCTCTCTCTCTCTCTCTCTCTCTCTCTCCCCCCCCGCGCTAAGGGCCCCCCTCCCCGGAACTCGAGGCTCACTCTCTCTTTCTCTCTCTCTCTCTCTTTCTCTCTCTCCTCCCCGCGCTAAGGGGGAGCACCCCTCCCCCCCAGCACTCGAGGCTCTCTCTCTCTCTCTCTCTCTCTCTCCCCCCCCGCGCTAAGGGCCCCCACCCCGGGCACTCGAGGCTCTCCCTCTCTCTCTCTTTCTCTCTTTCCCCCCCGCGCTAAGGGAGGACCCCCCCCCCTGGCAACCCAAATCCTGACCCTAACCCTAATCCTGACCCTGACCCAAACCATCACCCTAACCCGAACCCGAACACTAATCCAAAGACGAACCCGAGCCCTAACCCTAACCTTGACCCTAACCCTAACCCTAAACCAAACCCTAACCCTAACCCTATACCTAACCCCAACCCCAACCCTAACCCTACCCCTAACCCTGACACTCACCCTAACTTTAGCCCTTTATCACTGTTCCCTATTAATATACACCCCCTCCCCCAGGCGACTGGGAGCCAACCCGAGACCATGCGGGCCCCCCCCCCCCCACCATTTCTTGTAAAAAACAATTCAACATACACTCTGCCTCCAAATTCAGAGCAGGCGCCGCGAATCCGATGCGGCCTCCCCCCACCATCCCTGTCAACAAAACAATACAGAGCACACTTTGCGGCGGCGGCGGCGGCTGCGGCGGCTGCGGCGGGGGCAGCGGCTGCAGCGGCTGCGGCGGTGGCGGCGCCGGTGGCGGCGGCGGCGGCGGTGGCGGCGGCGGCGGCGGCGGCGGCGGTGGCGGCAGCGGCTGCGGCGGCAGCGGCTGCGGCGGCGACGATTCGGCAGCGGCGGCGGCGGCGGCGGCGGGCGCGGTGGCGGCGGCGGCGGCGGACAGCGGCCGCGGCGGCGGCGCGGCGGCGGCGGCGGCGGGCGGCGGCGGCGGCGGAGGCGGCGGCGGCGGCGGCTTCGCCCCCAGTAGCTGCCCATCCAAAAACGACTGCTGAATATGCTGCGGCTCGGGCCAGGCTCGTATGTGCTGGGAGGGCGGGTGGGAGTGAGCGGGACGGCTTGCGGGCGGGGAGGGACTCTTGACCTAACCCTATACCTAACCCGAACCCGAACCCTACTCATAACCCTAACTCTCACCCTAACCCTACCACTCACTCACCCTAACCTTAGACCCTAGCCCTAACCCGAACCTGACCCTAACCCGAACCCTAATCCTGACCCTAACCCTAACCCTAACCCTGACCGAAACCCTCACCCTAACTCTAGCCCGAGCCCTAACCCTAACCCTGACCTTAAACCTAAATCTAATCCTAGCCCTATACCTAACCCTCACCCCAAACCCTAACACTCACCCTGACCCTAAACCCCATACTTAAGCCCTACACCTACCCCTAACCCTAACCCTGTACCTTATACCTCACCCTAGCCCAAAACCCGAACCATAAGCCTCACTCTAATCCTAACCCTAACCCTAAGCGTATCCCTGACCCGAACCCTAACCTTAACCCTAATCCTAACCCTAACCCGAACCCTAACCCTGACTGAAACCCTCACCCGAACCCGAGCCCGAACCCTAACCCTAACCCTAACCCTGACCTCAAACCGAACCCTAAACCTAATCCTAGCCCTATGCCGAACCCTCACGCAAACCCTAACACTCACCTGGACCCTAAACCCTATACCTGACCCTAATCCTAACCCTGTACCTAACGCTAACCCTCACCCAAACCCTAACCCGACCCAGAATCCTATACCTAACCATATACCTAACCCTAATCCTAATCCAAATCCTAAGCATAACTGTAGCCCTATACCTAACCCGAACCCGAACCCTAATTGTAACCCTAACCCTCACCCAAACCATGCCACTAACCCTAACCTTAAAAACCCGAACCCTGACCCTCACCCATACCCTGACCCTAACCCTAGCCCGAATCCTGACTCTAACCCTAACTCTAACCCTGACCGACACCCTCACCTTAACCTTGGACCCTAACCCGAAACCGAGCCCTAACCCTAACCCTAACCATACCCCGAACTCTGACCCTAAGCCTAACCCTAAAGCTAATGGGAAACCTAGCCCTGTGCCGAACCCTCACGCAAACCCTACCACTCATCCGGACCCTAAACCCTATACCTAACCCTAACCGTAACCATATACTTAACGCTAACCCAAACACAAACCCTATACGTACCCTTAACCCTGTACCTAACCCTATACCAAACCCTTGCCCAACCCCTAACCATAACCCTCACCCTGACCCTAACCCTAACCCGAACCCTAATAACAACCCGAAATCCCTAAGCCTCACACCATGACTCTAACCCTGAAGCCCCAACCTTCAAACCCTAACCCTACTCCTCGCTCGCCTCGCACGCATGCTGGTCGACGTCGGGGCTGCCAGGGGCGCAAACATGAATTATTGTACGGCTCGCTCGTCCTCGCCCACATCCCATTTGTTTCTCAAACCCAAACCCCCGCTGAGACGTCCTCGCAACTCCGTTGCCGCCGCTCGAGACATCCTCACAACTCCGGCGCCGCCGCTCGAGACATCATCACAATTCTGGTGCCGCCGCTCGAGACATTCTCGCAATTCCAGCGCCGCCGCTCGAGACATCCTCACTCCGGCGCCGCTGCTCGAGACATCCTCGCAATTCCAACGCCACCGCTCGGAACCTTCCGAAAGGGCCGCGGGAGGGAGGAGGAGAGAAACGAACACCCCTCGTGCGCCTGGGAAGGGGGTACCCCCCCCTTCCGCGGCCTACGCCCCCCCCGGCACTTTCGTTCGCCTGGGAGGAGGGGAGGCCCCGTTCGAACCTCCTCCCCCGCCGGATATGATCCAAGAGATGGAGGGGGAGAGGGTCCCCCCCTTTCGCCCCCCCTCGCTGTCGT